TATATTGTTTCGGACATAATTGTGTTCCTTCCTTCCCTCTCCCCTAACCCCCTCCCACCACCACCACCAGTTTCTTCACTTTTGTTCTGCTCCCAAGGGCTGTTCTTTATCCAGAAAAACTGTTTCTTTCCCTGCATCTGTTTTCCCTATTAAGGCTGGGGAAGCTAAACACATAGCTTTGGGCAGAATCAGAACCATCTGCAACAAGCCCTAAACTGAGTCAGGAATCCTGGGCTTTTCCCCATGTGACTGCGGACGGGTCACTCTCTCTGGGCATTAGTTTTTTCATGTTAAATTAAGAATGGGGCCAGAGGAATTCACAAAGATACTTTCCAAAGTTCTATTGTTGATTCTAGATGTTACTAAAGGGTTTGTTCAGCTTGCTTTAGCAGGCTTAGTTCCAAATTCCTTTTTCACTATAGTATTAAACATAATAGTGGCATCTCAGCATCTGCGGGGGGGAAAGCAATGCCTAGTCTACAGATAACCTAAAAGTGTGGAGATATAGGTAACCCATCTGCTGTGGGTAAAAGCCACAGTCGAAAACTTCAATTTCTGCCTCTTCCATGTTAAATTTACTAAATGCCAAAATTAGAATTTCCATTAGGAAATATTTACTTCATAATCACGACAGACTCTGAAAATGTTCCATTTATTGACAAAACCATTACTGGGTCCTGTTAATGGTCTCCTCATCCATTTTACCACTGTTCTCAACTCTCACTATGCACCTGGGATACTTCTAAAATGTTCCACAGCCTAAACTCCACTCAGACCCACTGGCTCTGAAGAACTGGAGCTACAGCATCTGCATCTTTTAAAGCTCCCCAAGTGATTGGGGTGCAATGTTCTATACTATACACTATTCTTAAAGTTAGTTTGGAAAATAAGCAGCAGTTGAGAAAGCCTCCAAAGTGAAGATGATTTAGATTCAAGGTCCATGTTTGTACTCTGAAGTATTGTACCTGGCTGATTTAGCTTAAATTTGAAATAAAATTGTAATTTACCCTTTAAGTGATGTTTAGCAAGAACTGAGTTTGTTGGGACTAAGAGAATATGTGTATCTACAGTGCTGTGGGTGGAACTGGGGCAGGAGACTGTCTGGTTTGTTTTGTTTATTGTAAGACAATGTAGTATAATGAAAAGAACACAGGCCCTGGGTTTTAAATCCAAAATCTACTCTTTTACTAATTGTGGTAAGGCTCAAATTAGATACAGACATGAAAATATTTCATAAACCATAAAACCATGTATCTCAGCATTTTTTAATCTTTGCCCCTCCCTACTTTGAGAAATAGACAAATCTCGTGCCTTTCTAAAGTGTAAGTTCAAATGAAATATTGTGATTAGAAGCAAAAAAACAAAAGCTTTGTTTTCTCCCTCCTTTCTCACGTTGAGAATGACCTCTCAGTGCATTTTACTTGTGGCGGTTAAAACTTGAATGTGAAACTAGAAGTTTAGTGAAACCAGGGACTGTCTATTTATCTTTGTGTCCTTTTGTACCACCAAGCACACAGTGATTTACAGCGTAAGAACTCAGTAAAGATTTGCCAAAATCATATTAAGCAAATTTATAGGAATTCAGACAATAGAACCAAAACCTCTTTCTTATGCCTTTGAGAAATAAAGTACTCGTAAGAGAGTTTGGGACTTACTACAGTGAAATTCTTATGCTAGTTTATTTAAGATTTGAGAAAGCAGAAGAGAATCAGGAAAAGTAATAGAATAAAACAAGTCTGTACTGGAAGAAAGACTGGTGTTTATAGTAAATGTTTTAATAATTAGGCTAATGGCAAAAATAATACACAGTAACATTTAAGTTGGAACTACAAAATAAGTTTTGTAGCATGTGTCCTTTTGCTTAAGAAAAATATTAATCTTTTTAATATTCATTTGTATCCCTTAAGATGTACCAATTTATGGTAACCCATAAAAAACAGAAGTAAACCACGATGGGATTTAAATGTTTTCTCTAGCTTGTCCATATGAAGTTAAAAAAAAAAAAAAGTCATTTTAAAAAGTGCACACTTAGAAATTAATTACCCCACCAGTGCCCAGTGCAGTAGGTAAAATCTGTATCTGCTTATCCAGGTAGATTGACATAATGGCACCGGTCATAATTTGGTGCTATAAATGAATGTCCAAAATTGGGTCCTCAATTTTAAAAAAACTGGGAACTATGAATTCCTAATTTTAGAACTAATTGGGCCTTAAAAACATTAAGTATTGTCTTTGCTGTGAACTTTAAGAGTTGCTAAAATGTCTGACCTTTTCAGCAAATTCACAAAGGAGCAACTGATGTGGAGAATAGAACTTTATTAAATCAGAAATGAACCTTAACTAGTATATAGGCATGTAGAATCCAGTTTGTTGGGGAGGTCTGATTGTGTTATTGATTAATCTATAACTTTCAGTAGTGGGTGGAAGTCCTGTTTCTGGTCAAAGCCTGGATTTTACTAACTAGGGGTGTCTATAAAGATACAGAACTGGGAATCATTCATAGGGTCTGACAGAAGAAAGTAAGTGGGACACAAAGTATTCCATGAGAATGTGGCCTCTGGAAGGCCCTCACACCAAGCAATGTTTAAATTTAGTTTCAACATTTGCAACACAAATAGAGAGAAATTTACAGTTGACGTGAAGATGAGTTGTCTTCATCCATCTTCCTGTAAAGTTGCTTACTCTGGAAAGCATGCCAAAGTTGGGACGTTCCCATAATTGCCTTACATAGACAACGTACATCCTTTGTACATCAAAAGGAAAAAGCAGTGACTCAAAATAGAGGACCCTAGGGAATATGTTTACTGAAATTGCTCTTCACTAATTACACATGCTTGTTTGTTCCTTCTTTATTTTAGAATTAAAATAGGAAGAACTCATCCCAGAAGTCTGGGTCAACTCTAAACTTTGATTTTCTCATAGGATCTATGTTATTAAATACACCTGTAATCTTTTAATTGTTTGCAAAGCAGTGATAAATCACCTGTGAAGGTGAATTGATCTTTCAAAAGTGACCTTTTCCATGGTAATAAGAACTATTTCATATTGCCCCATCTGAAAACATTAAAACCTGGTTATTTCTCAGGTGAACCCAGCTAAGACTCAGTCTCCCTCTAAGCCAAAACCTCCTTTCTCAAGCAAGGCTCACTTCAACAATCTACCTTTAGAAGGAATGCAGCCTTACTCCTAGGTCCGTTTAACTCCATATAAAACCACCCCTGTGCTTTAAATAGTACATTATGTTAAAGATTGTCACTGTGGTTGTAAAATTTAAAATACCAGGGTGAGGAAGCTAAGAGTATTACCTTGGCATAAGCCTCTGTAAGGCAGCCATGGTGGTAGGAGCTGTTTCATAGATGAGGCTCCCCTGCCTGTGGTTGTGGGAAGACACCCTGTGCATTCCTACAAGTTATTTGTGGCTCTCTGAGGCATTCATTTAACACTGTTCTATAGCGCACAATTTTAGGAAGTAGAGTTGGAATTTTCTAGTCCTTGTTAGAATGTTTTCTTCAATCCAGAAGTGTTGTACAACACAAAAAGCCCCATGGTAAAGAACAAGCTCACAGAAAGAATACTGAGGAATGACACTTGGAATGTGCCACTGTTTTGTCATCCCTGCTACACTGATGTGGAGTGAACTGCATAGCAGCATAACTAACCGAAGAAATTTCAGCCAGGGCGCCAAAGCCTGACAAGCATAGTAAATCTTCTTAAGCAGGATATTTGGAGAGAAGGTTTTCAAGTTAATTGAATTTTATGATTAACAGAAGGTTATCTAGAAAACTGTATTTGTTTCACTTCATGTTGATGGAAGTCTTTCTAAAAGGGTTAAGTCTACTTTCCGTTTATAGTATAATTATTAATGTGGTTTAATTATTTTTTAAGATGAAGATTTCACTGCCTCCACAGCATTATCTTGATCGTAAAAGGTTATTCTATATTTCTTAAAATATGGCTGTGGCTGTTCAAGGTTAATTCATTGGGCTGGAAGTATACAGACTCCAGAACTGCTTCAGAGTTATAAGCCTAAGGGGGAAAAATCCCTAACATGAAATTTTATGATTTTCTTTTTCTGAAAACAGATTGTAGGAAAATTCCATCCAGTTGAAGGTTATGAGTTCTCTGGATGTGACTGTTACTAGTTTAAATGATGAAAAATGTGCCAGTGAAAGGGAAATTTTATTCCTAAGTCCTGAATTTTAGTTCTTCTCCACTCTGGGTCTTACAGTGAGATTCAGGATGTTACAGAGACCCTGTGTGGTCCAGGTCTCCCAACACTGAAATGCAAAATATATCTCTTGGAATGAAAAGCATGCAATTTTTCTTTCCTTACTGGAATGTATTGTATTTTTGCACTTAGAATCCATTTTCCCACTTTCTTTTATGGGAGTATTTTATCCCAGCATGCATATACATGTGTACATCTGTATGTACAGGTATGTATATAAAATTATATAAGATTTGCCTTTTTGATACTGTCTACAATATGCAGAGTAATACAGAACTCCTTTGAGATAATCATATTTTACTGGGGAGGAGAGGCCTCTATTAGTGTCCGTTGCGATGGCTTTTCACTCAGACTATAAATTAGGCCTGGGAAGGGCCAGTAATGAGTCAGTAATTTATAGACTATTAAGATACTTAGTTAGAAGTGATCCTGAGCATGTCGAATAGAGAACACATGTTTATAAAACACAAACAGATTCGATACATCTCTTTGGCCTAACCAAGCCCAATCAGTTAACAAAATGGGATGTCTTATTTTGTGTATCTCCTACTTCCCAAAAATAGAATCACTTACCACTCGCTAACCACACCGACTTTTTAACGGACAGAATGGTTGCTATAGTTTTGCCACCAGAAATATTCAGATTAAGCATTCTATTAGATTGTAGCCAGCAGAGTCTACAAAACAGGAAGAAGGCTCTGCTTGCTTTTTGCCTCCTTTCCTTGTTTGACTTGATGTGATAATTCATTGCAGATTTCTTTTTCTTTGACAGAATGCCTACCGCAGGAGTGGGATGGCTTTTCTAGCCTGCTGATGTGACAACTGTGATGTGCCCGCAACAACAGGAAAGGCAGTGTTATATTAAGGTGATTTCTTGTGAAAAAATAAAATGCAAATTTACCTTTCTTTTATCTGAGGGAGTGGGCTGGTTTGTTGTGACTACCAACTTGCTGACTCCTGCTCTTTTCCAGCCCCTCAACCATCAGTCTTGTTTACTAGATGGGCTGTTCAGCTAATTAATGGCAGGATGTTTAGGATAGTGTGTAGGTGGACAAGAATGCAGATCACACAATTTTGAAATTTTAATTTGAGTAGATTTACTGCCCTCAGTTCACATATCTTAAAAGCAGTGGTTGCCCCCGTCCAGTCTTTTGTCAGTGTTTTATTTGATACATTTTATAATCCAGGTTTGGAATAAGGAAACAAAATTAAAAGGACAGTGAGTTTTCGCCTTCCCTTATACCATCACCTTTACTTTCCAACATTTGTTGACTACATGTATTTTATTGACAGCTATCCACTTTATAAACTTACAGTAATCAAAGATTTAACAGACCTGATAAATCACCTGTTCCCACCTCCTTTCCCCTTCACTCCACTTACAGTATGTGTCATTTTCAATGCCTTCTTCCCAACTTCCTGCCATCTGCCTTTCATGTGTGTTTTTCCTCACACAGAACCTCTTCCTCCATCTTCATTCCCCTCCTTTTCCTGTTCCTCCAATCCCCAGACCCACCACTCCTGCACATGCCATACACATTTAGAAGCCAAGTATTCAGAATTAGTAGAAGGGGAGCAGAGTGATTTCTTGCTTCCTCCCTTCAAAGCACTACCACACCTAGACTGGAAATGTGGGCTGGGTAATTTCTTGCTGTTAGCAGCCGAGCTACCCTTCTGGCAGCTATACTTTCTCCAGTAAATGAGGAACCGTAACTCTTCGGAACAAACCAAAATATAGCAGATGTAAGTGTATAGTTCCTGATTAAACTTCAGTTGCAAAACAAGAAAGTTATTTCTTTAATTCTGTGGGAGTTTTGTATAATTTTACTTTTATCATGGATTTTACACACACTTGAAACACTCTCTCTAAAGAATAAAAACAGAAATGAGAAATATGAAAGATCTTTTTCTTGTGGCCAAAGCATTATGAGTCTCTGTTAATACAATTATGCCACATTATTTACATTTGTTAACTGTCATTTACCTGCTCTATGTTAATCTTTTTAGAAAAAATTTGAATTTCAGAAACAAAATCACAGATATATAATATTAAAATATTCCCAAAGGGTTTTGATGTTCCATCTATGCTTGTTAAAATGTATGATTAAACTTTTATTTTTATCATCATTCTTATTTTCCTTGTCATCCATAATCATGGGAAATTATAAGCTTGCAGTAAACATGCTAACTTTTAAACGATAGCATTTATTGTATTTGGTTTTGATCTGCCATGCTTATAGATGGTATAAAATTTTCGGGGGCTAATTTATCACATCAAAATTCCTTCTCTCCCACATTATACATTTTAAAGTACACACAAAGCAGAAAATACAGGGTTTGGGTTTTTTTCCTTCATTTTATTCTACCTGATCTCCTTATAGTCCCAGAGAAGGAAGACTCAACGTACATTTCTCTCAGAAATATGACAGGTCTGTGTTTTTGTTGGTCTGGCGTATGTTTGTCTATCTTGAACAGTCTGACAGGTAATTATTTATAAAATCTGGTTTTGCCAAGTTCATATAATAACCTTTCATTTTTCATCATAAGCCAGTAAGCTGAATTTAGAATAAAGCAAGGTCATTTATGTCTGTCCTAAACCAGCCTACATGTCCCCATAATTGCTCAATATTTTTCATTCCTTTTTCTATTTTTTATACTTAGGTTCTTTCTCTGACTCTTTGCACAATATTAAATTTGAAGTGAAATAAAATTTCCTTCAGCAGTGACTATAGAAATAAAAGAAAATTTACAGAAGAAACATTTAAGAAAACTTGACTTCAATAAATTATTTTCTCAATAATTGTAATGTTAGAGCAGAAGACAGTCTTAGAGATCATTGAGAACAGCTGCTTATCTTACAGATGGAGAAACCAAGGCCTAGAGAGGAAAAGTGACTTTCCTAAGATCACTCAATAATGGTAGTGACAGAACAGAGAAAAGAATCGATGTTCCCTAATTTTCAGTCTGGTATTATAAAGTATTTTCTGCCATACTGGGTTAGTAAGAATATTACTAAGACATGTTGGGGTTTTATGGTATATTTATCCTTGACAACAATGTAAATTTATTTAAAAACTATACTAATTATGGATACATCCTAAAGCATACATTTATATAGTAAAATCTTCAATGTGACTGTGGTATTAAGTAAACAGTCTGTTATCTTACACATCAGGCTTAACTCTAAGTCAATAGGGAATATACAAAGCTAATTTCTATTTTTTGTCCCTTGTATTTTAGAGACTGATTTTGAAAATAAATAAGCCAATAAATAAATAGCCTCTCTTGATACTGCTTCTTAGATTTAAGGGTAAAGAAAGTAGAAATTTTGGAAGTGTGACTTTCTGAATGTGCCATTTAGAGGTTATGTCATTAGCTTTCCTGCCTTCTTATATTGTAATAGTTGTGATTCAAAAATACTGTTTCAATTTTAAAACCAAGACTTTTTATTTGCACACCATCAGAAGCACAAATATTTTTAAATGGTGTATATAATTCCTGTATCTGGGGAGAACCCTTCATTTATTGCTGTTCTTTATTTTTTAAAAATAATAAGCCATGTCTAATGCTTTTACCATGTAGAAGACAAATAAACATAACTGGTGATTCTTGGTCTGAAAGAAAGCACGTTTACTTGTTTAGAATTATAAAGTTTAATTTTATGAATTTTTTTACATAGTTCTTAAATCAAGCAATGCTTTCCAGTTCATATAACCTCTTGTGTAAAACGGAATCACTAAAGAGAACATATTCTCTGATCTGCCCCCCCTGGAATTTGGATAGAACCTTTCCAGGCTACATTTAAAATTCTACCATCAACCATGTATACATCTCATAAAATATTTTACAGTTTCCTGTATGCTCTGGCCGAACATTTCATAGTACATAAACACTTCTGCAAATAATCTAAGGGCATCAAGTTGAATATGTCATAGCAATGGCCACTACATAAAGCTAATTCTCCAGCAACATAGTTTCTTATTATTTTACCTTCTTATTTGAAATTCAAGATGAAAATTTACATGCTATTGTTGTACAGTGGCAGGGGTGAGAAGACAGCAGGGAACTCTAGCAGTTTTTGTGGAATTGTGTGCATTAAAGCAAAGGCTTTCTGCAGAGGGCATCTAGCCAAGCTTAAACAACAAAACTATGCCTGCAGGAATTGGATGTAAATGTGATGGTTAAATAAGGGCCAGATGTCGTTAAAAACTCAAATATTAGAAAGTCATATCTCTTAAAGTAAGTCTCAAGTGTTGTAAGTCGGATACTGATACCATGGTACCTAAAGAAGGAGACTTGCGTTTGTTTTCCGGAACAAGATAGTAGGTATTCAAGCTGTCATAAGTCATGGAAGTTTCGGCAACTGAAGCATATTTTAAAGCAATCAATTCCTGCAAAGTCACAAGAACGCCGCATACATATTTCATTGTTGGGAGCCACTGTAATTACCTGTACAGCATTGTGTTCATAATCCCTTTTCTGCTCATCACCACCCAATATTGACTTTTTTCAAAGGAGGGTAAAGATAGAAAAAAAAAGACGGCAAGGCTCAAGATGATCAAAATATACTTTTACTTATACCAGGTAACACTCTACTTGCTATCAAAAATGATGATATATTGTGTCAGTATGTTAATAAGTTATGACATAATAATTATAGCACACCATGTGCTACCTTGTGTACTAAGCAGTTTGTGTGATTTATCTCATTTACTACTCACAGCCCCACTACCAGATATGCCCTGTTGCCCACAGGCAGGAGAGAGGAAACTGAGGAACAGCAGCTTAAATGTCTTATGCAGAATTACCCCAGGTGTAGCTGGCATTTATACCCAGCACTTTGATCCCAAAGCTCATGCTGTTAACCACTGTTACACAACGTGGACTGTACTGGAGTAGAGATTTCTGAGAACATATGAAAGAGAATTGCTGCCTGACCTTGAACCTAGAAGCACTTCTCAGAACCAGAAAATTTGATTGCAAGAAAATTGTATTTTAACTTAACATTCCTTCTCTAATGCCAAGTATTACGTATATAATAGAATATCTTATCATGTATAATAGAATATAATTATATAGGATCATGCCAAGTTTTTAATAATGTCTTAAGCCTTAAGAGAAATGTATATAATCAATGAATATACTAAAATTCCCTATACAAATTATGTGAAAAACTTCCTCAGAGATCCATGCATACAAAGCTGCTCTCCTTTCTGAAAACCAGATTTCCCCAGAAGGCTCTATTTACACAGGCTACTGTTTCATGCTTTCATACAAGGTATTTATCCATGTTGTAAAATAATTCCCATCTTGTTTACATGTGTTTGCAGTGGCAGATACAGAAGTACATATGGCAATGCCCTGAAACTTTAAATAAATGACCCTTTTAAAGACCTGCTCATTAATTCATTAATTATATAGTAGTCATAGTTTTTCCCAGCCTGACATGTTTGTGTGTGAGGCAGGTCCGGGGGAGGTGATGTATGGAGATAAATAGGAAAGTGGAAAAAAGCTACCATGCACAATTTGAATTACAAAGGATAGTTTTCCATTCGACTCAGTAGTTAGCAGCAGTTTTTTTATAGAGAGAGAGTCAGGTCTTTGTTGCCCAGGCTGATCTCAAACTCTTAGTCTCAAGTGATCCTCCCACCTTGGCCTCCCAAAATGCTGGGATTACAGGCATGAGCCACCACACCCAGCCAGAGCTTCTTTAATTCAACCCTATGTTTGTTCTGCCTCAGGACAAGCCACCTTCTGAATTATGTCCTTTAAGATTCCAAATAACTGCACCAGCCTGTGCTACAACTTTTCTGAATTTTTTTTTTTTTAAAGATGGGGTCTCCCTATATCACTCAGGCTGGTCTCCAGCTCCTAGGTGCAAGCAGTCCTCCCACCTCAGCCTCCTGATTAGCTGGGACTACAGGCACAAGCCACCGCACCCAGCTCTTTCTGAATGGTTTTAATTGCATCTTCCAGCGGCTTCACTTGGGAAAAGTTAGTTCACCTGCCAATGCATTGGCCACTTCTTGTCAACACTCCCTGACCTAAACATATCAGTCAGTCAAGCAAGCAGACACTAAGCAGCAGCAACTACTACAGCTGATGGATTGGCCTGCCACACTTCCATAGGTTTGGCCTGTAAGGAGACAGTGAGCCCAAATGGCTTTAGACAGTTTGTTACACAGCTACATAAGCAAGATTGGCACAGTGTCAACTTCCCATGTTCCTAATCCCACAGGAAGATACCAAGCCAGAGGGGCCAGTTGACAGAAGACGTGAGTGAGTGGAGGGTTACCATGTCATGGAGGAGCCAACTCTAAACCACAGCCAAGCAGTTTTTTGGTTTTTTTGTTTTTTGTTTGTTTTTGAGACAGAGTTTCACTCTTATTGCCCAGGCTGGAGTGCAATGGTGCGGTCTTGGCTCACTGCAACCTCCACCTCCTGGGTTCAAGCGATCCTCCTGCCTCAGCCTCCCGAGTAGCTGGGGTTATAGGCACGTGCCACCACGCTCAGCTAATTTTTTGTGTTTTTAGTAGAGATGGGGTTTTACTATGTTGGTCAAGTTGGTCTTGAACTCCTGACCTCAGGCAATCCACCCACCTCGGCCTCCCAAAGTGCTGGGATTACAGGCGTGAGCCACCGTGCCTGGCCAGCCAAGCAGTTTTATAGCTTGCATTCACATCCCAAAGGGGGTTGAGGTGGAAAGACCTTTGCCTTACCAGAACTAGGGA